CTTACTTTTTTTCCTTTATATATGAAATACTTTGTGAAGTGCAAAAGAGCAAATTTATTGCTACAGTATCTCATTCTACACAAAAAGATTCCATTATTTGAGATTTTATAATAAAAATTTCCTTCTTTTACTAGTTATGCAAATCATTTGAAAATTATCTTAATACAAAATGCATACCAAGCCATTTTTTATGGATAATATATTAAGATATTGTTTTCCATGTAGATGCTTTTATTTGTGATTTGATGAATGGAAATGCATTATACTGCTCAGACCCCTCAGTTGATGATTTTTCTCATACTCTTACAAATGTGCAGTTTTAAGATTCCTGCATTCAGCACGTTAAAAGATATATTTATTGACATTTTTATGAAAATTTGCAGCATTGCTGTAAGCATTGAATAATGGTGCTTTAACATCATGCATTATTATCATTGGTACAGAATGATTTAGTTTGCTTTTCTTTTTGTAAAATATATTTTCTTTTCAAATTTGCCACCCCCTCCTTTTTTGGGGGGAAAGCAAACAATGAATTTAATATGGAAAATAATCCCAAAATTTTCACATTCTCTCAAAACTGTTTTTAGTAGCCATAAGTGACAAATTCAGATTGTTTCCAAAACAATATTGACTGAATCTAAAATTTTCAGTCAGATATTGAATGTTTCTTAAAGAACTAACATAGATTGTTTGTTATTATATAGAGTTAGTTTTTTTTAACTATTATCTCTTAATCTCTAATATGTGCTCCTAAACATTGGGTATTACAGAGTTTATTATTTTATGAAAATTACTAATTTACAGAAATATGACCTGTGTGAGATCTAAGTATTTAAATTTCAGAATAATTTGATTTCTAAAAGATATATTATTGTTGTAGTTTCTGCCATTAAAGCTATGCTAAGAATGTATGTTAGTACATTCTTAGCATAGCTTTAATGGTTTCTCTCCTTTTTTTGTCTTTGCTATTTTTTCTGTATGATAAATCTAAAATTTTATATATCTCTAAAACAAAAATTTATGAATATTTTACCAAATTTTTTGTTTAAATAGTAGAAAAAAGAATTTCTAATAAAACACATAAATTACAATAAAATTTTAAAATGTATTATTCTTAAAAAATACGAAAATAATTTCATCTAATTATTGTTATACTGTGTTAACTGATATATCTTTAAAAGTTAGCTCAGAGAAAACTCTTATTTGAAACAAAAGAGGGAAAAAGGTTTTATCAGCGATTGTATGAAAAATCATACATTTACTTGTTATATATTGTGTTATAGTGATTTGATAATTGTGTATCTTAGTATGAAATTTTGTGTATAAATAAATTTTTTAATATCTTAATTTATATGTGTTGTCTTTATTTCTTTCAAGCTGAATAAGTATAGCATAGATCTTTAATAAAATTGTATTGAAGATTGCATCATTTATTTATTTTAAAATTGCTAACTGTTGCTATGTATTTCAGACTATTAAATATATAGCCTTTGTGTGCTTCGCCATATCTCAGTAATCCTGTTGTATGTAATAACAAACGCTACATTTATTAAATTACGTACATATGTAGTACATGGCATTTAACCCTTTGAAGCGCGATATTATTTTTATAATTTTTTTAACTAAAAACTAGAAATGAATTAGACCTATAAAAAAATGGATTTAAAAAAAACTCTCATGTTCACTGCGCCAAAACCGCTTCTAGACTTAAAACTATGATTATAGGAAAAAACTTACCATTTCGCGCCATTACAATAAATGAAGAAATTTAGGTATTTTAAAAAATGTATGGAAGAATTGCATTATATATAATTTTTTTACATTATTTACAAAGTAAATCATCAGAAAAAATTAAAAAATAAACATTTATGTAATTTTTTTCTAGCAGTGAAAAATAAGTACCTACATAATAAGGATAGTTGGATAAATGGATTAAAAAACTCAATAAAATAAGGATAAAAAAGAACTCAGTTTTTTTTTTTTTTTTTTTTTTTTTTTTAATTTCAAAGAACAATTTTTTTTGTGTGTGACAAAGCATGTTTTGTCTCTTTGGTACATACATAGACCTACATTGCACGTTTCGCACATACATCTTGTTCTATGAGGTTTCTTCCTTGTGCTACAAAATGTACACTGCCTGGATTTAAATTTCACTGGTATATGTCCAGCGTTATTTAGTTATCTGGCACATGAAATTTGTGGTTTTTTATGTTAATGGGGGGGGGAAGGTTGGTCTTTTTGGCTTTGTACGGATTGTTCGTTTCCCATTCATACTTATCTTATTCGTATTTTGTCCCAAAATATTCAGAAAATACTTTTAATTTAAATAAAACTTTTACGCAATTTCTATTTTTAATTATAGCAAAGTATATTTACATTAAATTTAAACCACAGGAAATAATTTATAAAATCACAATACTAGCTTGGGGAGCAAGTGTGTTGATGTCAGAGAAAAGTATTTGGAAAAGAAAGACCTTTTTACTGGGCAGGTGCATATATTGTTTACTAATAAAATAACTCTGTGGTTTCAAAGCTCTTTATCTATATCCGGGTAAAAATAAACATTCCTATTTGAAAAGCAAGTGAATGCCATTGAGAAACAAACGCCAGTGGTTTCAAGGCGCGACCACCGAGCCTCTAGAGGATTGTAAGCATTGTAACACAATGCTCTAGTGGCACAGTGGTCGCGCCCTGAAACCACATAGCAAATGCCATACATATAGAGGGTTTTTTTTTTTTTTTAATTTTTTATTTATATATATATATATATATATATATATATATATGCAGTTTAATTACTGCAATTTTTTATTGTTTATGATATAGAAATTATGATGTGCGATGATAACTTTTGAAATTTAAAGTTTTTATATTAATAAAAGGAAGTTATTTTGTCTCATCGAAAACGAATTTTAAAAGGCATCCGATCTGAAGTATTAATACCTAAAACATATATGATTCTACAGTCATTTTGTGTTATTTAGATGTAAAAGATGAATAATCAATTCCTTTTCCCTCAAAAATTTCGGAAAAAAGAGAAAAAAAATTTGGAAAATGGTGGTTTCAGGGTGCGACAACCGCGCGCCAAAGAGTTAAAATTAAAGCATATTTTAAAACCATAATTAAATGAAGTATTAAGTTAATAGTAACCATTTATGAAATATTTAAGTATTAATATGAATAATTATGAAACGTAAAAAGTGGATGTAAAATAAAAAAATCTGGAATTTTGATTAAAAAAAAAGGTAGGCAGTCTAATTATAATTAGGCCTAAAGGAGTACACAAGTAAAATTTTGTGAAGATAGCACTTATCGTTTTGATTCTGTGGGTGTGCCTGAAGCGGGCACACTGATTGAATAGAGCTTCGAAAAGTGTGCTAATACGAGCATTGCTGGTAAGGGCGTAAAAGAGCAAGAGTTTTTGCCTACAATTAAAAGACACTAGTTTCTGAATACTGTAGAAGATTTAGCATTACCTAGGGTGTGCCACGGGGAGACATGCTACTCTACACCCCCTAAAAGGCTCTTTTTGGGTTATATGATGATTATGTGCGTATGAATGGGGGAAAAAATGTAATTTGAGTATATCATTTTTACATTATTTACAGTCTACTTTTCATGGTGGTACTTTTCGAAGAAAATGACACCACCTTTGAAAGAGCACAACCCAATATTGTATGTTTTGCACATGTACCGGAATCTGCATCAGATTTACTATCTGAAGCAATTCATGTAGCACTTTCAGTGCTCCAGAAATGGTCAGCCCTCTTCGATCCGCTTGTAAAATAATTAAAAATCTGAAAAAATAAACTAATATTATACCTACATTTAGAAATTATAAACTGTAAAATAAAATTAAATAAACGTCTACAACTCAAAACTACTAAACGTAGCACTAGCGAAACTTTGAACGAAAGTGAAAAAGAACTGCTCTAGTGAAAAACCAAACAGCTAACTGATAAAATTACCCTTAACCTTCAGAAAATCACCCCAACAAATTGTTAGTTAATAACCAAACGTCCCCTTCAAAAAAAAAAAAAAAAGAGATAGAAAAGAAGAGAGAAAAACAGGAAATAAAACACAGATGTAGACCCACCCTTCTGTTGTCCATGAACTGACCGATGAGATGCGGAGAAACAAAAAATGCAGTCTCTCGTCCTAGTGGTCTAGGTGTGCCTGATCTAGACGTACCTTGGTTTTGCCGTTCGATTTTAGGCACAATTTCAAGGTAAAAATTTAAAACTAATATAGAATAAGGCAATTAGCATACAGCCAAAAAAAAAATTGTTCGAAAAGAAATTTCTTTTTGAACAATTGCTTTTATATCCTAAAAAAAATTTGGAAGATTTCTTTGAAAAATAAGGGTCTTAAAAAACTAAACATGGCTAAAATATATGGACTGGTTTGTGTTGAGCTGCCATTTACAATAAATAAAGAAGGTTCAGAGTAACCTATAGTAACCTCTAAATTCTTTTTCATTCAATTTTTCTGCACTTACAGAAGGAAATTTTTAGGTGCCACAAAGGGTTAAAGTAGGATCGATTCTCCACCTTGACTACACCCTGCACATTAGCTTCACTGCATACTGACTTGGATTCGAAAGTTGCCTGAGGGCGAGCCAACTGGTTTCCATTGTGTCTATGAGAGCTTGCCTTCTTTTCCCCTATAGATTCTTTGTACGAATCTCTGGATTCTCAAGGTTACTGGAGCGCAAAGATGCTGAAAACTTGCTTTGCCTTTCTAAAAGACAATCTGACTGGCTCTACAAAAATTGGCTCTAAGCCAGCTGTCCTAATGGCACTTAAGCAATACATAATTTGCCAAGAAAGTTAACGCTTCCAATGTTGGCGCGAAGATCACTTTTTTGGGAATCACTATATAAAATTCCCTGACTTTTCCTGATTATTCAGGTAGTGTGGCATCTCTGCATTTATCTAATGATAGCATTTCAAGATCCAATGAACAATACAAAATGCAGCACATTTAAATAATAAAAATTATTTTTTCAACAAAATCATCACTCACCTACCAACTGCCGTATTCTGGCCATTTCATCCTTTTTGCGCTTTTGCCTAGCTATCTTGTTCTGTTTTTCTATCCATTTCCTTTCTTCTCGGCTAAAATTTTAAAACTTTAAATTACTTAAGACAATTTTTAAAATGCATGTAAAAATCTAAGTTCTGCCTTCAAGTTAGCATGGGAATACTATGAAAATGTTTTAAACTAAATACTTTTCGCCTTTTTCCTTTTCTTCTTCATCAAGGTAAGAAAACTCTCTCCATGAATCAAAATCATACCTGAGAAAATAAATAACAGAAATAAGCTGACAGAATATACAAATTTTAAAATATTAAAATAAGTTAATATACATTTAAAGAGACCAGTTTGATACCAAAAATAAAACTACATTTCTATTTTTATCAAGCTTCTTTCATTTCCCCTTTTAGATAAAATATGCTTTTTTACATACTTAACGTATGCAACTCCTCACTCAGCTATTAGTAACATAATGTCACTGCAAATAGTCATTTTATGTCTGTATATCATGTTCTATAAGTCACAATACATAAAAACTTTTTCAATAATGGGGTGTCCATTGCTAGATATGATAGCTTATTCATACAATGTCATACAATAGCATCACTACGAATAAGCAGGAAAAATGAATATCAATGCAGGAATTCCTCTACCACATTTTCAGTTGCTTATGTGAATAATTTGGCAGCTGTCAGATACAAACCCTGACAAAATAAGAATTGATGCAGCACTAGCTACCACTATCTCGATAACTACCTCGTTCAATTCACACTGCGTCAAATACACGAAAAAATGCAAATGTTTTCAGCAATGTTAAATTAAACCTGCAGTTTTATGCCTTTTATGTAATCTAAAATTAATGCAGTAAAATCTATTTTTTATTTATTCTAAATTTAATAAAATAGTAATTCTTTTCATGAAACTTTATGTATCAATTAGGTTTGAAGCCATTTAATTAGATTTCACACTAATGTTTATGTTTGCTGCTAAGTGGTGACCTATTAATAGGAAAGTATTTTTCCACTATAGTTAAATTAAAATTAGACCAAATAAACAATCACAATTATTTCTAAATATCCGATGATTAATATAAATTTTCAAAAGCATTAGTATTTAATTTTCTTTACTGTTCAAATTTCCTATTTCAGATCCCCCCATACAGGTATTTAATTAACATGAAGCATATAAAAACCATCTATTTAACTCTTCCACATCGAAGTTGCTCTAAATGCCTGACCATTCAGACATCAGCAAGTTGCCCAAACCAATGAGTCCATTTTCACTCTGGTGCTTTGCCCCCCCCTCACATTAGTGCATGGCTCATTGCTTTCAGGAGTTGTTAACTAACATGCCAATCGTTCTTTTGAAGTAACTAAAAGTAGTTCTGTTATTTGAATGCATCTTATTACAAATCAAGATGCCTGCTGTGTGACATCATTACGTTTAACTATGAACTCACGGGTTAAATGGCTAGAGATCGCTGAAGGAGAAACTTGCATACTGAATTTTACTGGATTAAAACATTTTGCTTAAAACTTTCCACATATCCATTACTATTAAGTATATTTCTTCATTCACATTAAAATTCTACAAAAATGTAATGATCATTTGCATAAATATATCTCAAAGGATTGCATATGAAAAGAAAATCACCTAGTGAACCTGGAAAAGAAATCGCTGAAAATAAGGTAAGCACTTTTTGTTTTACCTTGATTAATTGAATTTGAAATAACAAAATTTTAAGTGGTGCCATAACGTGGGGCCACTAGGTTGAATTTGAATTGAAATTTAAGAGATATTGCTTTAAACAAAAATGGACCTAGAAAAATTAAAAAAGAAACGAGCTGCTATAAGAGCATTAGCCATGAAACTAATAAATAAGGAAGAAACAGAAACTGCTAATGACAGCGACAACTGTGTAGTTAAAGAAACGGCTGCGCAGGTATTTAGTAAAGAAGAACTAATCTCAGCTGATAAAGATATTGAAAGTTTAATTGACATAAAGAGTTTAGAAGACAAAATAATTTCTAATGAAGAGCATAAACATAAAATTATTGTATGGAAATTACGCGCTAAAAGATATTTAGACACTAAGCCATACAGAGCTAGTTCTACTTCATGTGAAACCGTCAAGGATTGCAAAACAAAATTAAACTTCCAAAATTGGATTTAGAAACTTTTTCGAGAAAGATCTGAGCAGTTGGCCTGGGTTTTGGGCACAACTCGAAACAGTTGTACATGAGATCGAAAGTCTATGTACAGTAGATAAACAAAGCCAATTCTTACTTCCGATGCAGAAACTGCAACACGAGGGTTAACAGCAGAAAAATGTGAAATTATTAACTGCTTCCCTTATAAAGTTTTTTGAAAAAAATTGCAAAAAATCATCACATTTTTTTTATTTTATTATTAAATACAAGGAAACGAAACAATACAAAATATGTATATTTTAAGTTGAATTTTTAATTTTTTACAGGTGTAATACCATTTAGTTTTAATATTAATTTACTATTCCGAGTTATCTCGGGCAAATGAAAAAACGTTTAATTTTAGTCTTTGTAATGATAGCTTTTGAAACAAGGGACAACACAAAGCGATACCTGACATTCTACGCACTAGTATCTAGTCTCTTTTCTTACTGGCTTACCTCTGGAATCTCTTTTATGGGAGTACAGAGTACACTGAGTCGTTGGATTTGTTTTTTCAGTAGCAGGAATAATATCTGGAAAATGTTCACCTCTTCATAATCACTATCAGAAAAATCATCGCTTTCAGAAAAATCATCATTGCCATTATTTTAATTTTTTTCAACACAACTATATTTCTTTATACATTACTAATCCACAAGCCGACGTATACTAATTATTAGGAAAAACGTGTGACCGATTCCGCCACAAGAACCGCGAAACCAACAAAACTTGGCAAATTTCCAATCAAAGCTGAATATTTCCTTTCATTTCCTCCAAGCCGAGTAAAACTGTGTTAAAACAAATTGTACTAACAAAATCTGCTTCGCCTGAGTTTTCTCCGAATAATAATTAACTGCAATATAATCAGGCAAGCAGTTAAAAGATCGCTTCGGTCGCAAAGAACTAATAATAAACTCACCATGAATAACTTTTAACTCTAATTCCAGTTATGAAGTCTTTCGATGTGACAGCACTTCGAAAATATATGACCGTTGTGAAATATAAATTAAAGGAATAGAATTGTACAATATTTTGCCAGATTCGTACAATACCTTATTGTATCCGTACAGTCGAAAGTCGTTAATTCGGACATCCATAATCCGGAATGATCTATAATCCTGACCTCAAAGCTACAAACTTTCTGCCAATGCGTCTCGTTGACACATGCGCGCAAGACTTTTATGGCTGCGCATAACACGTTTACGCATGCATGTTTAATGTATAACGGACAGTATAAGCTAAAATTATCTAATTATCTATTTCAGTTAATGTTGCAGATTGCGTTGTTCCTTAAATTTCAAATTGGATCCGGCTTATTATTTTTTGCAGACGGTTAGAGCAATTTTATAAAAGTAAGCTTGAACTTTCGATTATGTCAAATAGAATCTCCGATGCTGGAGCTCCCAAAGGATCTAAAAAGCGAAAGTATGTTTCAATGTCCATCAAACAAAAAGTGGAATTGCTGTAAAAAATGGATAAATGCATATCCTTTGTTTCTCTAACTATTCCAAAATCTGTTTATCAATTTCACGCTGTTCTGCGGCAGGATGGGGGGGTACGCTGCGGCACGCAATGACTTGGAAGTTGATCTGTCAGCACTATCCTTATCTTCAGGGAAGATGTTTTTATTTTATTTGGCTTATAATTCCTTACTAAATGTAGCATTTCATCTCGATGTACTCCATCTTTGATATGATTTAAATCAAGTTCCTCGTCATTATAATTCGCTTCCGATAGTGAAGAAAGTGACACAGAGGTTATTGAAAACGAAAAAATTTCGATTGACAAATTAGTCGGTATTCTTGCACAGCAATTATAGGACTTGAACAGTGGAACTTTGTAACTGAACAAGAAATTATGTCTGTTTATAGAATTAAAGAGAAAATATTATCACATAAAATGAAGCAACTTAAACAACTTGCATTAAAAGAAATGTTTAATAAAGTAAAGAAATAAATATTAAGCTTTTTTTTTTTTTTTTTTTTTTTTTTTTTGTAAATTTTGATACCCTTTAGATCATAATTGTTCTTTATTTCATAAATTACGGTTTCATATTTTTAATTTTATAATTTCTGCATGCCATCTTACCAGATTTAAACTGATGATCTATAATCCGGAATCGCCGAAATCCCGACGTGTCCGGATTAACGACTTTTGACTGTATTAATAAAGGTGATTCAGAATTATTTAGCCCTAGAATTTAATAGGAAATACGAAGATAAGAACCAGATAAAAATTACTTATTGGCTAAATTTTGTAACAGAAGAAGCAGAAAGCAGAGAGTGCACAGAATTTTTAACTAATCCAACCAATTCCAAAATTACTGAAAGAAAATCACGCTCTGAAAACAGCAGCAGTCTGCAAAACGATTTTCAAGGACAACGAAAAATATCAGAATTATTATAATAGTGGTGAAATTCCTTCGGTGGCTGCGTGAAATACATCTCTTTCCAACAGCTGTTTACTCTGTTCTGAAAGTCATATCTCTGAATCATGTCAAAAAACGGTACCAGAAAAAAAGGAAGTGTTAAAGCAAAGTGGGAATTGTTTTGCGTGTCTTAAAAGGTATCATTTAGCTAAGGACCACAAATCAAAACTAAGCTGTTGCATTTGTAATCAACAGCACCGTAAATTGATACATGATGATGAAACAAATAAGTCAGTCAAGAGGCCCATTCAAGAAGTTTCTGTCTATCTCTTCTGTTTCTGATTACGCAACAATAAATAACTATTCTTCTTCAGACACTTAGAGCTTAAATGTGCACGACTCCTGAAGCACAGAAAGTGAAAAGAACCAATCTCACTTTGCGTAATTCAAAGTATCGATATGAAATCAAAATAAAAACTTCAATTAACCCTGTCATTAATGGATCCCATATTCATTCCAATACAAATTAAATAGTTAACTTTATTAAAAATCAGGAACTACAACTTTCTGATGAATGGGGACAAGGAAATAAAACATCAAAAATTTCTTTGCTGATAGGAGTAGATTTTTATAGGAAAACAGTTACGAGCAAGATTCAGACTGTCTAAATCCTTAGTTGCGATTGAAAAAAAAAAAATAGGTT